GTAATGAAAATGTGACACATATATACTATGTAATACTATTTGTCTGTAGTAAAAATGAAAATATTAAATTTGTAGGTAAATATGTTAATAAACATATTAAGTGAGGTAATCCAGGCCCAGAAAAAAAAAACCTACTTGTCAAAGTCCAAACTCCCTCACTATACATTGGAATGTTTTGTTCTGACTTTCCAAGGGATTTTGATTCAGAAATTATATATTTGTACATGAAATTATATATGTGTACATATGTGTGCACATGTGAATGTAGAGACAACCTTGAGTTCTTCCTCAGGAACTGTCCACCTTGATTTTGTTTGAGTCAAGGTCTCTAACAGCTCAAAGCTCTCTGAATAGGTTGGGTTTGCAACACCACCCTCTTTAGTTCTTCTCCTTCTTTAATTGTCTCCTCCAGAAGCTCATTTTCCTTACGCTGCCCTTCAATGTTAGTGCTTCCTATTTCTGGTCCTGTTCTCTCTGTCTTCCACGCCTGAGCACTGCAACTCCTATGGCCTCTATTTGCACTAACAACTCTAGTTTGCTTTTATGAATAGAGTCTTGATCGTTTTCAAACACTTTTTGGAAGGAAGAGAAGCTCATTTACCGCGTGTGTTATTAAAGCTTAAGTTTATACCGTGTGTCTAGTGGGTAGAGTCCTCTGTGCTTTTCTAGGGTGGACGCACCAATTTATACTCTCATGAAAATGTGAGAGCTGCCGCTCTTCCACACTGCCATCACCAACTGGGGTACCGACTGTCTCCCACGATTATTGTGGACATTCACGTGTCTGAGTACTGGTATCTTACCACGGTATTTGCATCTTTTTAATTACTGAGGATGATGTATACCTTTTCACGTGTCATTTGATATAATCTTCAGTGAACCATGTCTATATGTTTCAATATAAGTAAATATCACATCATACCGTTCATATCAAAATTGTTTAAGCACATAAAATAATGTTGTTTATGTGTGTGAGTATATGTTAGAAAAATATTCATGGAATTGAAACTACCAAACTCAATCCAGTTTAAGAGAAATAGAAATAGGGAGACAAAATTTTGGATGGTAAGTTGATTTTAAGTACATCTATTTAGCTTCACTTAAAAGTTTATGAATAATAGTTTTATTTCTTCCAATGTTAGGTACTCGAATGTCTTTCACATTATTTCCTATTCTACTCATATGCTTATAGTGTTTAATTAGCATAAAAATGAAACAAGGAAGAGCCCACACATATGCAAAGGAGATGAGAACAGTGAATTGAAGTTTTAAGAGAAGAGAATTGGAGCTGGGGATGTGCATGAAGGCCCAAGTTGAATCTTCAGCTTTGCAGGGGGGGGGAGGATGGGAGGAAGGGACAGACAGACAGAGAGAGACAGACACAGTCCTAGTAGCCTTACCCAATAGCAAACTAGACAAGATCCAAAGAACCAACTGTCTGCAGCATTTACTGATCCCTATGTGATAATCTGATGTTTATACCTATGTTGCAGTATGCCTAGCAGCAACAATGCTGATAACATCCCTAGAGAACCCACCTCTCCAACGAATTAAATGCTGTTAAGTCTAAAGACTCATAACCCCTATAGAGAAGATAGGGAGTATTAGCCCATCTTATTCATCTTAAAGATAAGGAAACTGGGCATAAAAGTGTTATTTATAAGTAAATTAAATGCACAGAGTTTTATAAAATCTGCTTACAAATTATAAAGGGAGGTGATGGAAAACAGAAAGAGAGTAAGTTTTTAACAGTTTAGAAGCTCACACCTTTCATAATAAATTTGTCACTACTTCATTCCTGTTTGGTAAACAAGTCTATTAAGTGGCAAGAACTGTGTTAGAATTGTAGCTGTAAAATTGAAGAAGAGGCAGACTCCCTCAGTTAAGTACTGAGCTGAACTCAAGAAAGCCAGTAACAGAGAGGGAGGACTGATGACCAAAGGGATTAAGACTGAGCTGGTTTAACCCCCAGAAACTGCTGACCTGATAAAGGTTAACTCTTGAATCCCAGGCATCAGCCTGGGAATCCAGCATGGGACTGATCAAGACCCCCTGAATGTGGGTGTCAGTGAGGAGGCCTAGGGAATCTATTGAGCCTTGGGCAGCAGATCAGTACCCATCCCGAGTATACACATGGACTTTGGACTCCCATCCAACAATGTGAGGTGCACTCTCACCCTGAACTCTTGGGGAAGGGTCTAGGCCCTGCCCTATATGAAATGACAGACTATGGACACCCCCATGGAGGGCCTCACCCTCCCTGGGGAAATGAGGGGATAATGGGGGGGGGGTTGGGGGTACGGCATGGGAAGAGGGGAGGGAAAGGGAGAGGGACCTGGAACTGACTTGTGAAGCAACCTTGTTTCTTATCTAAATTTAAACTGAAAAATAAATAAAAAAAACTGATATAACATAAAAAAAAATCAGGTAAGACATGGCCATCTCCACCATATTTTTAAAAAGTATTTCTTGATCATTCAATATCATATTCTTGCTTTTTGCATATTCATTTTTTATTTCTTAAAAATGAAGCTTCTGTAAGGCAAAGGACACAGTCAACAAGACAAAATGGCAGCCTACAGAATGGGAAAAGATATTCACCAACCTTACATCTGATAGAGAGCTGATCTCCAAAATATACAAAGAACTCAAGAAACTGGACACCAAAACACCAAATAATCCAATTAAAAAATGGGGCACAGATCTAAATAGACAATTCTCAACAGAGGAATCTCAAAAGACAGAAAGACACTTAAGGAAATGTTCAATATTCTTAGTTATCAGGAAAATGCAAATCAAAACAACTCTGAGATACCATTTTATACCTGTCAAAATGGCTAAAATCAAAAACACCAATGACAGCTTATGCTGGAGAGGGTGTGGAGAAAGAGGAACACTTCTCCACTGCTGGTGGGAATGAAAACTTGTATAGTTACTTTGGAAATCAGTATGACGGTTTCTCAGGAAAATGGGAATTGATCTACCTCAAGACCCAGCAATTCCATTCTGAGGCATATACCCAAAGGATGTATATTCATACAACAAGGACATCTGTTCAGCTATGTTCATAGCAGCATTATTTGTAAATGCCCCTCAACCAAAGAATGGATAAAGAAAATGTGGTACATATACACAATGGAGTACTACTCAGTGGTAAAAAACAATGACATCTTGAAATTCGCAGGCAAATGGATGAAACTAGAAGAAACCATCCTGTGTTGCCCAGACACAGAAAGACATAGTATAGTATGTACTCACTCGTAAGTAGATATTAGACATATATCAAAGGATAACCAGCCTACAACCCACAAGTCCAGAGAAGCCAGGAAACTAGGAGGACCCTAAGAGAAACATACATGGGCCCCTGGAGAAGGGGAAAGGGACAAGATCTCCAGAGTAAATTGGGAGCATGGGGGAGGGCGGTAGGAAAAAGAGGAGGGGAGAAGAGGAGGAGGGAGGAGAACATGAGGGAAGGTTGAGCTGAGGGAAGGACAGAGAAGGAGAGCAAGGAAAGAGACACCTTGATAGAAGGAGCTATTATGGTACTAGGGAAATTCCCAGGAATCCACAAGGCTGTTTCTTTATTACAAAAATATGAAGTCTAATGCAACAAAAAGAAAAATACTATGGACTAGAAGTATGTCTTATAAACCAAAACTTTTGAATGGAAATGATTTTTAGGCAAGTCTTTGAATTAATTTAGAAGCTTCTTGTTTTATCTTTTTACTGAGTTTATCTTAAAATTCTAGGCAACCTCTGGGGCCTTGGGCAGTATTTATCCCTGGCATACAAATGGACTTTGGCTGCCCATCCCACAGTGAGGGATGCTCTCTCAGCCTGGACTCTTGGGGGAGGGCCTAGGCCCTGCCCTGGATGAAATGACAGTCACTGGAGATCCTCTATGGAGGGCCTCACCCTCCCTGGGGATCAGAGTGGAGATTGAGTGGGGGACTGGGGGGCCTGTAGGGGGCTGGGGAGTGCTGGGATTGACATGTGAAGCAAGCTTGTTTCCAACTTAAATTTAAAAAAAGAAGAAAAAAATTGTAAACTCTGAAAATCTGAACTCTGAACCTGGTGTAGTGGCCCATGTCTTTAATCCCAGAACCTGGGAGACAGAGGCAGGCAGATCTCTGTGATACTGAGGCCAGCCTGGTCTACAGAGTGAGTTCCATGACAGCCAGAGTTACATAGTAAGACCCCATCTCGACAAAACAGGAAAAAAAATCTGAACTCTGTTGCAACAATGACCTTAAAAACCACTAATAATGCCAATACAATTTTATATTTTTAAGAAGCTGAAATTACACTAAAACACTGAAAATAAATTTCCTTATGGCCCTAATGTCACAGATTTCTAAAGAGAATGAAACATTTAATTGTAAAATTAAATATTTATGAGGGGAGAAAATAAACTCTGCAAGGCACAGATTCATGTTCAGTCCCACCAATAAGGCCAACCGCAGGCAACACCGCTGCTTCTTTTTAGCATTTGTCTTCGCTCCATACATGGACTTACTGTGTACTTTTTAGCATTTGTCTTCGCTCCATACATGGACTTACTGTGTACTTTTTAGCATTTGTCTTCGCTCCATACATGGACTTACTGTGTACTCGCAAGGGCGCTTGCAGCCTGGTGGTTATTTCTCAGGTACCACCCACCTTGCATTTTGTTGACACAGGGGTTCTAGAACTCACTGCTTATGTTAGGCTGGCTATTCAGTAAACCCTAGGAATCAGCCTGTCTCTAGCTTTCTAGTTTTTAAACGCAAGTTCTGGAAATATCTGTGCTTGTAGGAAAGCACTTCTTCAATTGAGCCTGTTTCTCACCAACAGTCCCAGTTACCATGTTTTTATAGACTGTGCTATTATACCCAATTTGTAGACTATTTTTGTAGATGCCCATGTGTCACGCCTTTGCCATTTATTTGTTCACTGCACAGTTCTACCAGTCAAGTAACAAACAGCCACAGTCTTCTCTTCAACGTCATTTGACTTCTCACCTTTTGGGCTGCAAGGTGAAGGGCTGTTCTCCGGCTATGGTCAGTTTTATTGACATCTGCTCCTGCTTTTAGAAGAGCATCTGCACAGTCCAATCTGTCTGCCAACACACAGTACATAAGTGGAGTTCTCCCAAATTGGTCTTCTTTGTCTTTAAGAGAAGGGTTTCCTGTAAGTATAAGAAAGAGTGATATTTAATTATTGTCCTTATTACTAATATAAGTAGGAGATACATTTGATAAATCCTTATTATTGAATACTGTACTAAACCTATTGTATATTATTTCACATTAATTTAGTCTATGAGGTAGATATTAGAATTCCCACATTATCAACAACTGAGGCTCAGAGAAATTTATTAACCTATATACATGCATACTGAGAGTAGATGGCAGAGCTAGAATAAATTGGCTGATGACTCTAAAGGTCATATTTGTATTATATTACTTTTAATAAATATTTTGAGATATGGAGCTATTCATGTTTTTTCCTTACTTCTTTCTTTTGTCTACAAATACTTATTTGTTACTAATCATAGTGTGTACTGTGAATGCTTTTACTAGTGATAAAAATCATAGTTTGTTTCCTTGTCTAGACAAAATGAACAAGTATAAATAATCTTGATCTCCCTGCTAATTACAATGAAAATCATCTATAAAATAAATAAAAAGAAAACAAAAGAAGATAGGAACTTTGGTGGTAAGTAGTCTAAATATTTGTGTGCGTGCACACACGTACATATAACCTTATAGTCTACCGTCTTTATTACTAATATAAGTAGGAGATACATTTGCTAAATCCTTATTATTGAGTACTCTACTAAATCCATTGCATAATATTCCAATTAAATTTAGTCTATGAGTAGATATTAGCATTCGAACAATACTGACAACTGAGGCTCAGGAAGTTTATTGCTCTATACACTGCATACTGAGAGTGCATGGCAGAGAAGACTGGGAAATATGTGGTCCTGCCACATGGTTCTTTCTGACTATTCTTGTTCTATTCTGAACAGAGATGAAAAGAAAACACACCTTTCTCCTCCCCACTGGGTCCTTTGGAAGAACCCTGCCAGTTACTGTAGCCTAAATTAAGTAAAGGGTAACAGTGAGGTATTATCTTACCCTTTCTTAGAGACTAGGAGAGGATATGGAGAGGAGGTGGCTGGAAAAGCAGTTCTTTAACCTGGTGCATGGCAGGACCAATGCCTGTGAAACTGATCAGAATCAGGATAGCAAAAGCTCTGGGAACTGAACTACAGGTAGAATCCTGCCCAGGTCCTAACCTGGGACCAATAGCTCAGAAGTAGAAATGCCAGATGAGCCTGCAAAGGATCTGAAACCTCAAGTAGAAATTTGAACCAAAGTCTATAAAATAAACATATGTTTATTCTAAACCAAAACAGGCTGTTAACTTTCTAAAATAGGATAACCAGAACCCAGTATCATTATACATAAAATGTCAAAGATGTAGTTCCAAATTACTAGATAACCTGAGTTATGAAAATATTAAGTTAGAAAAAGATAACTCTCTGAGATCCAGATATTATAATCCTGACAAAATTTAAACAAATCCTAAAAGTACTCCAACAACTAATTATGAATGCTCTTGACACAAATGTCTCTGCAAAGAAAAAGAAATAGAAATGGAAGCCCAAAGAAAATTTAACGTATTTTTACTGATATATATTCATATGTATATACCATATATATATCTATGTATATTTGATACAGAATCTCACTATGTAGCCAATGGCGACCTCAAACTCATATTCTTCCTGTTTTGGCTTCTCAAGTGCAGAGAATAAAGGTGTACACCAACATGCTGGCTCATAAAGTGATGAATTTCTAATAAACAAGTACAAAATCGAATAAAATAAGCAAAAGCATAACCTCACTAAATAGCTTAAGAGCAGAATGAAGATGACGCAGGAAAGAATCTCTAAATTTGATGACAGACCAACAGAAATTATTCAGTTTGAGTAACAAACACTAAAGACACAAACAAAAATGGAAATTTGGGGGATTTTTATGGGTTCATTAAAAAAACAGTAATCCATCATCAGTGTTACAGAAAGTAAGAAAAACAGTAAAACACTAAAAACATAGTTAAGCAACTGGGGAGATGGCTTGGTTGTCGAAGCGCTCGTCACATAAGTATGAGGACATGAGTTTGAATCCACAGGACCCAAGTAAAAACCCAGCAGCATGGGTCTACAGTCCTGCTGTTCCTATTGTAGGATGGGAGGTAGAGACAAGAGAACCCAGAAGGTTCAGGCCATCTAGCCTGCTGTACATAGCGGAGCACAGCCAGACCCCGTCACACACAAGGCGGAGGGTAAGAAGCAATACCCCAGGCTGTCTTCTGACACTGGCTGTGGTACACGCACACATGCACTTTCACGTGCTCACATAAACACATATGCACAGGCAAACTTTAGGAAATATAAAACAAAAATAGAAACATGGTTTAAGAAGTAATGGCTAGAAGTGGCCCAAATTGTTAAAAGATGAAGATCTACAGATGTAAGAAGCTGAGAAAACATCAAACAAAAAAAACCCAAAGCAATCTATGTTGAGCCAGCCACATAAAGCTTATGAAAGCTGAAGACAAGGACAGCAATGATGAAAGCAGCAGACACCTGCGAGAAGCACCCATTCAAAAGACAGACTGCTCCTCATCTGAAGCAAAAGGCAGTGCTCCCCATCTGAAGCAAAAGACAGAGTGCTCTCCATCTGAAGCAAAAGACAGAATGCTTCTCATCTGAAGCAAAAGACAGAGTGCTTCTCATCTGAAGCAAAAGACAGAGTGCTCCCCATCTGAAGCAAAAGACAGAATGCTTCTCATCTGAAGCAAAAGACAGAGTGCTTCTCATCTGAAGCAAAAGACAGACTGCTCCTCATCTGAAGCAAAAGGCAGTGCTCCCCATCTGAAACAAAAGACAGAGTGCTCTCCATCTGAAGCAAAAGACAGAGTGCTCCCCATCTGAAGCAAAAGACAGAATGCTCCCCATCTGAAGCAAAAGACAGAATGCTTCTCATCTGAAGCAAAAGACAGACTGCTCCTCATCTGAAGCAAAAGGCAGTGCTCCCCATCTGAAGCAAAAGACAGAGTGCTCTCCATCTGAAGCAAAAGACAGAGTGCTCCCCATCTGAAGCAAAAGACAGAGTGCTCCTCATCTGAAGCAAAAGACAGAGTGCTCCTCATCTGAAGCAAAAGGCAGTGCTCCCCATCTGAAGCAAAAGACAGAGTGCTCTCCATCTGAAGCAAAAGACAGAGTGCTCCCCATCTGAAGCAAAAGACAGAGTGCTCCCCATCTGAAGCAAAAGACAGAGTGCTCCTCATCTGAAGCAAAAGACAGAGTGCTCCTCATCTGAAGCAAAAGACAGAGTGCTCCTCATCTGAAGCAAAAGACAGAGTGCTCCTCATCTGAAGCAAAAGACAGAGTGCTCCCCATCTGAAGCAAAAGACAGAGTGCTCCTCATCTGAAGCAAAAGAGGCCAGGAAACTGGCACATTTTTCAAGTACTGGGTGAAAACAAAACTGTCAATTCGTAATTCCACAGTTAAAATATTTTTTATTAATAAAGGTTAAAGAAGGAAAAACTAACAGAATTTAAAGCCATCAGACACTTTTCATAAAATTAATGTAGAAAGTTCTTCAAAGAGAAAGGAAATGACAAAAAGATCTAGAATATCAAGAATGAAAAAAAGAGACAATTTCACAGTGTCTGGGAATACAGTATATTATTCTCCTCGCTTTTACAAGTTGTACTTTGATGACTAAAAACAAAACTGCAACATTGTGTGATACGGTTATCTACTTACATGGAGGGATTAAATTCTGGGGGTATTTGAGGCTGCAGTGGTTAAGAGTGTGTACTGTGCTAGCTGGTGGTGGTGCACGCCTTTAATCCCAGCACTTGGAAGGCAGAGGCAAGTAGATTTCTGTTAGTTTGAGGCCAGCCTGATCTAAAGAGTGAGTTCCAGGACAGCCAGGGCTACAGAGAGAAACCCTGTCTTGAAAAATTGGAGAAAAAAAAGAGTGCATACTGGTATTGCAGAGGACCCAGTTTTGATTTCTAGAACCCATGCTAGTTAGCTAACAACAGCCTGTGACTCAAGCTTCAGAGAATGCAACCCTGTGGCCTCTATGGACACTGCATTCACACACACACATACACATGATTAAAAAACAGTAACACTAACTTAAAAATATTTACATGTGTATGAGCTCACATGCATATGTTGCATGATAGGGTACACATGTGGAGGTCAGAGCACGACCTGTGGGTGTCAGCTCTGTCTTTCCACCATGTAGGTCATTAGGCTTGGTGGCAAATGCCATCACTCACTGAGCCATTTCACTCACTCTGGGGAGGTTCCTAATCTAATCTTTATCAATGTTGATTTATGGTTTCTCCTGAAATCTTTGTTTTAGCTTTTAAAGCTCTTCTATCATCCAGAACAATGTTTTCTTTAAATAGGCATTAGGTTATCTAATTGTTCTGGGAAGGAGTTTCAGCCATAGTGGCAGGAAATGAATGAAACTGTTTTGACATTGGGGGCTTTGGAGAAGCTGCTCAAGGCATTTCCTGAAGGCAAAGTAATACCTTGATAATCTCTTATTGAACTACATTTCTTAGTTCAGTGCCTGCCTTTGCCACACCTGCTGCATAATCCAGAAAGGGAGGGGCATTCTGTTTGAATTATGCTCATAAAAAGAATTGTTTCTAGAAATGCCCAGTTTACAATCCCTTTTCAAGTGACCCTTTTTGCCACATTTTCTTTAAACCTCTTGAAATCACCTCGCCTATCCATGTATCATCATCATGGCCATGAGCTTCAATATTAACTGTATATTGGATCCAAGCCTCCAAAGGTGTTTGCTGATCTTGTTTTTAAAGTCCTAATTATCCTTCTGCACTGTGCATTGGCATTTTCAGAAGCCACAGTTTCAGTTATTATTTTTCTACCTTGACTGCTGATGACAGTCTTCACACAAAACTCACAAATGCTTCCTTTGGACCCTGTATAACTTTTGTAAATGCTTCAATTTTCTTTCTGCTTCTCCAATTCTGTCCCAAGCATTCAAAGTTACTGCATGGCATAAACACAAGAGGTGGTCATCATATAGATATTGCCTTTCTGAAGTAGCACAATCTCCTTC